AAAACAAGGCCAAATGGAATCTGGCGGCGGCCCCTTACACAGGCAATCTTTTTGGGGAAGCACTAGATCCTATCTTAATAGAGAACAAGGATAAGAAAAAGGTTCTTCCCTGCAGGGTTTCTGAAACCGGCGTAGGTGTGCTCAGTGGCGGTGGGTCACCTGGCTTGGGATCTCTGCAGCCGGTGTGGGTGTGCCCAGCAGCAGCTTCCCACTACTCCCCTTGAATACTGTCGGCTCCCCCCCCCCCCGTGAACATGTCATCTTGTTCCATCTCCACCTGATGTCACCCCGTTTGGTTGATGCCACACTCTCCTCTATGCTATACTTAGACAGAACTTTATTCCCTTTGGGAACTCCCCCTTTCCCGGAGATGGCCTTTTTGCCTATCAGGACACTTCCTTAATGATAGATCTTGGGATCCCAAGAGGTGGCATGCGCAGAAAAGACTTCTTAGGTTTTTTTTTTTACAGGAGTTTTAAAATCAGATTTTAAAGGGGGCAGGGGGGTTGATATGGATTGCTCAGACAGGCTTGGGGGGGGGGGGGAGTCTGCCAGGGCACAGGCCAGAGCTAACTAATGGGCGCGGGTCGGGAGTGCTGGGAAGGGTTGGGATTCCGGGGGAGACATTAAGCCATTCCATTGGGGGGGGGGTTCACCATCTCTACTGTTTGTGGGGGCCGAGGGCCAAATTATGTTCGGGGTACATGGGTCCGCTGTTTAAAAGCGATCGCGCATTCTGACCCTCATCACCCTTCTCACACCCCTGGGTGCTCGGGATTACAGCACCCTGGTCTCCGGCTGGTGTCGCTTAATGCCAGGTCCATGGCACATAAGGCTCCCCTCATTTACAACCTCATACAGAGGGTAGAGCGGACCTGGCGTGCATTACGGAGACCTGGTTGGGCCATGAGGGGGGTGTTCCCCTTAGTGAATTATTCCCACCAGGCTTCCGGGTGTTTCACCAGCCGAGAGCCCAGGGCAGGGGTGGGGGGAGTGGTGGTGGTTATTAGGGAAAGTCTCAGACCTCAGGAGGTCACTGTGCCTCAGATTGGTGGGTGTTAGTCCCTTTTTGTGAAATGGGGCCTTGGAGTTCAGGTGGGCCTTTTTGTTACATACCTGTCTCCCTGCTACGTTTCATCAGCTCTACCGGAGCTGCTGAATGTGTTAGCTGGATTGGCGATTGATTTCCCCAGGCTTATGATCCTGTGGGATTTCAATCTGCCTTCCATTGGCGAGACATCCGAGTCACCTCGAGAGTTCATGGCTTCCATGATGGCTATGGACCTAACTCAGTTAATTCAAGATCCCACCCATAATGGGGGACACACGGTCGACCTGATTTTTGTCTCTGGGCAGTAGATGAATGATCTAGATTTAGGGGATATTTGTATCCAACTCTTGTCATGGTCGGATCATCTCCTCATCAGGCTTGACTTCCATACTGCTACCCCTCACCACAGGGAGGCGGAACCAACTAGATGGTTCCGCCCCAGGCACCTGATGGACCCTGAAAGGTTCCTGATGGAGCTTGGGACTTTTCCTGAATCCCTTGCTCACAACTCGACCGAAGCCCTAGTGGAAGCCTGGGATAGGGCGGTCACTGGGGCTTTGGATCGTGTTGTGCCTTTGCGGCCTCTGACCCGGTGTCGATCCTGGGTAGCTCCCTGGTTTACCGAGCAGTTTCTGGGAGATGAAACGCCGGAAAAGACGCCTAGAGAGTGGTTGGAGTGCCGGCCGGTCCAAATCTGATCGAATACTAATAAGAATTCATATTAAATCCTACTTAGTGGCAATAAAAGCGGCAAAATTGCAACATTTTCCCGCTCTTATCGCGTCTGCAGATAACTGCCCAGCCGCCCTGTTTAGGGTGACCCGCTCCTTACTTAACCAAGGAGCTGGGAAAGACCCCTTGCAGGGTAGGGCTGAAGAATTTGTTCAGTATCTGCAGGATAAAATCGCTCAGATCCGGACAGGCTTGGACTCTGACTGGGTAGATTCGGGTGAGTCGACGGGTATGAATCTTGTGGAGATCATCTGGGATGAGTTTGACCCTGTGACCCCCATGGGCATGGACAGGATTATGGGGAGACTCAATGCTGCCACTTGTGTGCTGGACCCGTGTCCCTCTTGGTTAGTCTCGGCTTCCTGGGAGGTGACACGAGGCTGGCTCCAAGCGATTACCAATGCTTTGTTGAGAGAGGGGTTCTTTCCCACCGCCTTGAAGGAGTCGGTGGTGAGGCCCCTCCTTAAGAAGCCTTCCCTGGACCCAGCTCCTTTAGCCAACTATCATCCGGTCTCCAACCTTCGCTTTGTAGCAAAGGTTGTCGAGAGTGCGGTAGCCTGTCAGCTTCCTCAGTCCCTGGATGAAGCTGTCTACCTGGATCTGTTTCAAGTCGGGTTTCAGACCCAGATACAGCATGGAAACTGCATTGGTCGAGTTGGTCAATGATCTCTGGCGGGCCCAGGACAGGGGTTGCTCTTCTGTCCTGGTCCTATTAGACCTCTCAGCGGCTTTCGATAACATCAAGCATGGTATCCTACTGCGACGACTCGGGGGGAGTGGAGAGCATCGTTTTATGGTGGTTCTCCTCCTACCTGTTGGATCGGTCGCAGTTTGTGTTGACTGGAGGGCAGGGATCGACCCCGAGGCACATCACTTGTGGGGTGCCCCAGGGGTCGGTTCATTCACCCCTCCTGTTCAACATATATATGAAACCACTGGGTGAGATCATCCGTGGTTTGGGGGTACAGTATAATCAATATGCTGATGATACCCAACTTTTCATCTCTATCCCAAACCACCCAAATGATGCCCTCAACGTGATGTCCCAATGCTGGAGGCTGTGCAGATCTGGATGGGGTGGAACAGGCTCAAGCTCAAACCCTCCAAGACTGAGTGGCTGTGGTTTCCGTCATCCTGATTTGTGCATCCTGTTTAATCTTTGATGATAGGGGGAGAAATTTTAGCCCCCTCAGAGAGGGCCCGCAATCTGGGCGTCCTACTGGATACGCAGCTTTGTTTAGAAGAACACCTGATGGCAGTGACCGGGGGGGGACTTTTACCAGGTTCACCTGGTACATCAGTTGCGCCCCTTTCCTGGATCGGGATGCTCTGTGCACAGTCACTCATGCCCTCGTCCTTTCTCGCCTGGACTACTGTAACGGTCTCTACATGGGGCTGCTCTTGAAGAGCTCCCGGAAGCTTCAACTCGTCTCTGGCTAGAGGCCCTGAAGATTGGTTCATGGGCAGAGAGACACTTGGCATCACTGGTGTCGGAACACATCTTGGGCAAGTCCAATCATCAGGCCGACTGGCTGAGCCAAGCAACCCTCAACAATGGCAAGTGGCAACAACTCCTGCCCAAGTTGTTCCAGAAAATCTGCCGGCAGTTAGGCACCCTGCGAGGGGGTTTATTTGCTACCCCAGCGAACTCTCAGCTGCCGAGGTTCTTCTCCTGCTTCCATACTTGAACTGAGGAGGGTGCAGACGCCCTCAGGAGCAGATGGCCGCCAAGCCTACTTTATTCCTTTCCCCCTATTCCGCTTATACCCGGGACCCTCAGGAAGGTAGTGACAGAGAGGGCGTACATCATCATTCTGGCCCCCAATTGGCCCAGGAGGTCCTGGTTTGCGGATCTAGTCCAACTATCAGTCTCCCTTCCATGGAGGATTCCTCGGGAGGAGATTGTCTTGTGCCAGGGGGTCCTGATCCCTCCGGAGCCCCAGTGGCTCCACTTGACTACCTGGCACTTGAGCAGTGACTTCTGAAGAATGCTAACCTGTCCTCCAAGGTCATAGCAACCATTGAGGTCTCAAGATGCCTGTCGACCACTCGGATCTACAATTCCATGTGGTTGGCATTTGTCAAGTGGTGTACACCGCTAGTTATCTGCCCCACCGAAGCCTTGGTGGTCCAGATTCTCGAGTTCTTACAGAAGTGGTTAGATGGAGGCCTCTCCCATAACACCCTGCATCACCAGGTGGCTGCATTGTCATCTGTTCTTGGGGGGGGAGGGTAACTCCACTCTCTCTCACCTCCCCTTGATTAAGTGGTTCCTAAAGGGAGTGGAAAACCTCAGGCTTCCCCCAATACACAGATTTCCCACCTGGGACCTCCCCCTTGTGTTCAAGGCCCTGACAGGAGCACCATTTGAACCCCTGCGAACGGTCCACCTTAGATTACTATCCCTCAAAGTGGCTTTCCTAGTCACAGTTATGTCGGCCAGATGCATTTCAGAACTGGGCGCCCTATCATCCGGGGATGATCTTTGCCAATTCCATCAGGACAGGATGGAACCCACATTTCTCCCAAAGGTAAACGCTCCATTCCACAGGGCACAAGAAATCATTTTACCTAATTTTTGTCCGGCCCCTTCTCACAAAAGGGAGTGCCTCCGGCACCGACTGAACATTCACTGCGCCTTGCACATCTATGTTAGGCAAACGTCGGGGGTATGCAAATCCAAGGCTCTCTTTATCTCTTTTCAGCCAGGTCCTTAGTAGCCAAAGCGTTCTCAGCCACCATTGGCAAGTGGCTGAGGGTGGCCATTGTAACAGCTTATGAGGCATCTGGTCAGGCCCCTCCCACAGGGATCACGGCCCATTCCACCCGGAGTGCCGTCACCACGGCGGCGTGGGCCACCAGGGCTCCATTCGAAGACATTTGCCAGGCAGCCACTTGGTCATCTCTGACTCCTTTTATCCGTCACTACCGACTGGATGCATTCGCTTCTGCGGAGGCGTCCTTTGGCCGCAGGGTCTTATAGCAGGTAGCAGCCACCCCTACCCCTGGGTCCTAATTTTCCCCTCCCTGGGACTAAGTTTGGGTATGTCCCACGAATAACCCCTCCCTCGATTCTATTGGAAAAAGAATGTTGGTCCTTACCTGAACGTGTCTTTTCAGTAGAATAGAGGGAGGGGTTACAACCCACCCTAATTAGTGTTAGAGATAGGTCAGGTGGAGGGTCTGGAGGTCCCTTGGCCTTCTTGTGTTTTTGCAGGTGCAGTCCATCGACATCGAGGAAACTGGGATCCAATGGGAAATGGCGGAATATTATAGAAATTTCCCTCAGTCTATGGACCAATCAGGCTGTGACAAAACCCATGCGTAACCCCTCCCTCTATTCTACTGAAAAGACAGGTTCAGGGCTGCAATGCATAGATTTACATAGAATTGCTAAGTTTATAACTAAGAGAGTGGTTCTATGAAGCTGATACAAAGAACAAGTTGAGGTACATGGTAAGGGAGATTTATTTATCCAATTACTGTCTCTGCATTAACTCTCTTAGTTATAAACATTTGTATAACTCTCTTAGTTATAAACATTTGTATTTTATCAATTAATTTCATCCTATCTTATTCCAAAAATAGACTATGCATTTTATTTTATTAGCACTACAACACTAATCAATAACTGGTCTTTGATCAAGTAAAGAGTAATTTGATATGAATGCTGTAAATGCTTCAATTTGCTGGATCATTTTTTTAAATTTTTTTTATTTGAGAAAAACTATAATTTCAATTGCTGCAATATTTCCTGATAATTCTACTATGGTAGTTAATATATGATTCAAAATAGAGATGGAATATTGCATTACATCAATACATCTTAATTAAATTGTAACATTTGCCATTTACTTATAATTGAACATGTGCTCCGGCCAAAAATAAAAGAGTAGTGAAAGAGATGAAGTAAATTGAAATGTGTAGCATACTTATTTTAGATAAACATATCTAGAAAAAAGTTACAATCTACTTTCATTGAGTTTAAGAGAGATTACCATTAATTAAATAATGAATGAAACAATCCATAATACACAGTTTATGATTTTTAGTACTTAATTTTTTATTTTGAGGGGTGGTGGTCATCTTTTGTGCTCTAGTTCTTACAGTGTTGATTCATCTGTAGTTCAGTGATTTTTTTTTGCCAAACTTCTCTCTACCCATTGGTATTTGCCATTGCATGTCTATTTAACACACTTAAGGGAAATTTTTACTCTAGAAAACTGTGTTGGGTTTGCTGGGTTTCTGCAGGGTGAGGTGGAAAAAAATGCACTTTATTTATTTAATGTTAAATTGTTTGCCACCCATCTTGCTGCAAGTATGATATGCAAATGCTATAACTTAATATATTTGTATTGAATGGGCATGAGTTTATGACCATGTTATCAATGCATGAATCCCTTGCTAGAAGAAGTGACTTTACTGTGCATACAGTAATATACAATGAATATAAAATTCCTATATGGATGCCTTTGGTATTTGTTCCCATTTATGGTTATCAGAAACATGTGAGGTTTATTTTGTTCTTCTAATCATGCTAATCCAATCCACTTTAAGAATGTAATCGCAGTCACTAAATCAATGAAGCATAGCGTATCATTATATCCTGGTGAATATTCTTTTGTCCAGTTCTCACATTTCTCATTTTCCATTTAAGACCTCTATTCATAACAAATCTTACTTAAGTTTCTTTTTTCCTTTGCACTGTGGGAAAAAAACTGTCAGAGAGGAAAGAAGCAAGGAGGACAATGAAGAATAGGTAAATTTAAAACTTTTGTTTTAAAAAGAGTTATTGTTTGTTAATATGGTTTTAATTAAAGTAAAAACTAGCTACTTAAAATTTTGTACTAATATTTTAAAAGAAAAATATATATCTTGTATATATGTACTTGATAACAAATATTCACATCCTGGCTTTTTGTCTTTGTCTCTGGATTTGTGAATTTGGATGGGGAAAGAATGTCAATTGAGGGAATAAAACTATAGATGGATTGATGCAGATCATGGAAAATAGCTCTGGAACTTCAGCCTTTCAGAAGGTGAAATTCACTAATATTTTAGCTAGATCCCGAAGATTAAGAATTATTCTATAAACTAAACTAAACTAACCTGAAATGTTTTTATCTAATCTGAGCCATGTCTAATGTCTAATCAAAGCCACCTCATTCCAAAGGTTTAGCATAGCAAAGAAAATTTTAGGAATGTGGATTCTGATAGACATCAAATATTTAATATGTGTGATATTTATGTATCTATATAGTCCTGCTTATTTGTCTTCTTAATAAAACTAAAGTCTCCTGTTTCTATATAGCAAGAAGCCAATCTGTAGACAGGATTGAATTTATTCTGGTTATTCTTATGGTGCAAATTTGGCACATTCAGTTTGTGATACTGGGGTTCCCCCCCGCCCCAACTGTCATTGTATGTACTTTGGAATACATTTCTCCAGATGGGCATTTTTGTTTGCAAGTTACATTTTGTCTAATTTAATTCATAAGTTTATACTCCATTTTTAAACATTAAAACATTTTTGTATAGATTTTTCCTAGCTGGGTAATCGGATTTTGGTAGAATGCAAGTTTGGTGAATTTTGGATATGACTGATAATTAAACATCAATTTCCATTAAATAATTAGATAGATTTGCATTTCCAAATGTATAAAATACTTCCCCCTCCATCCCTATATCTTTCTACAGTTTTTTTAAAAGAATAAGCAATCTTGCTGAATTCTTCCCACCCCTTCCCCAGTTTTCATAAGCAAGTAATTCAAATAGTCAGTTGCTCTGTGCTTTCCCAGCTAAGGTTACACTCATTACATGCATGGGGATGCTTTTTCATTGCCAATGCTTGAGGCAGGAATGTCCCCATCCATAATTTTTGCAATTCAAAAGTTTGTACAGCTTCAACATGTTAGCTTTAGTAGACAATCTTGATTTTTTCATGTTCATAAATTATTAACTTCTATCACATTTCAGACTAAAGCCAAGGATACTATTAGACACATTTATTTTCAGACAATACTTCTTTAATATCTGCTGTTATTTTATAAAACAAAAACAATTTTTTGGAAAAAAAAAACCTTCAAACATTCATAAAAATTCTTATTAGGTTTAGGTTAGATAATCACGATTCTTCTGATGAATTGGGATTTGTTTGCCATTTATTAAAACCCCTTGAGCCCGCTGCTGGGCCATGGCCTATTGGCAATCAGGCTGTGCAAGCGGCAGGTGAGTGTGTAAGAACACAAAGGTGCATTTGCGTGAGCAGCATATACACAAAACCATCTTCTCTCCCCCCCCCTCTACTCCCCCAGCGGCTGCTGCTGCCAGGTCACAAAGACTGAAAGGTTGGAGACCGCTGATTAATAATACTATTAAATAAGGTAGTTGTCGGTCAAGATGATAGCTTCCATCTTCTTGTAAAATCTATAAATCAAACTTCCATTGATTTTTGTCTTCTTTTTTTCATGTTGTACTTATTTTATTTGTATTACTTTACATTTCCAACAAACAGTGTGAGATCTAGGTACAATTATTTAAACAGTCATAATCTACATATTGGTTATTATATTCATCACAATAATATTAATAGTATAACTATATATCAATATAGTTTCAATAATACATAACATCTTCATCATCAAATTCTCTCCACATTAACATTTCCTTTTTTTAATATCTCGTCCTTTCTAACTTCTGTTTCTATTGTCTAATCATTGTAAAGTACCTCCTATGTCAACAATATTCAGTTTCTTCTTTATCCTTAATAATGAGAGTTAATCTGTCCATTTATGCACATTCTAATATTTTCTTAATTACACTCTCATTTGACGATATCTCATCATTTTTCCACATACAATTGCGCACATACAATTCTAGCTGCAGTTAATATTTGTAAGACCATATTTTTCCAGTAGAATTACCCAACAGAAATATCTCATGTTTCAAATCAATATGCTGCTTTATCATTTTTTCCAACCAAGTATGTATTTTTATCCAATATTTTTTAGCTTTTGGGCAAGTCCATCACATGATAGAATGATCTGAGTGGTTGATTACACTTCCAACATTTGGTAGATTTATTTTTATGCATTTTAGCCAATCTTGCCGGTGTAAAGTACCATCTATAAAGCATTTTGTACAAATTTTCTTTGTATGCAGTTGACATAGTCAATTTAACATTTCTATCCCATAGTTTCTGCCATTTGTCTAATACTATTGTATATCCAAAGTTTTTGGCCCAGGTAATCATTGTCTCTTTTACCTGCTCACTTTCAAGTTTAATACTGAGTATATAACCATATAATTTCTTTATCAGTTTATCATCTGTTCCATTTCAATAGTAACTATCTAATTCTTTTAAGTTTATTAAAACCATACATTTTAGCATCTTTCTCATAGTGCGATTGTATCTGCATTTGTGGCCACCCTGCGATATCTATCCCTTGAGTACTAAGTTCTTGTTTAGTTTTTAATTCCTCTTCATTATTCAAAATGTCTCTGTATCTTACAATTTTTTCTATATTAATAACATTAGGATGTACCAATGCCTCCATAGTGGAAAGCCAGATTGGTATTTTCGAATAGTGTAGTTCTTTTATTTTAATCCAGACTGATAACAATACATTTCTAACATGTCTCTGGAAATAGCTATGTATCTTATTCTTCCCATACCATAAAAAGACGTGCCAACCTAGTTGAAGATCATGCCTTCTAATGTTAATAATATTGTATGCCTCAAACTAATCCATTCTTTCACCCATGTGAATATCAAGGCCTGGTAGTATAATTCCCAATCTGATAGTCAAAACCCCCCTCTTGTTTTGGTTTCTTGCAGTATTTTCAAGCCTATTCTTGCTTGCTTTCTTAGCCAAACAAACCTTAATATTATTTTATTTAATTCTTCAAAATATTTTTTCTCCATCTTTATTGGTATCATTTGAAACAAGTATAGTATTCTTGGCAAAATGTCAGCTCAGACACAAGGAGAGAAATGAGATACACGACAAGAGAAAGGAACACTCTCTAATGGCCATCTATATAGACCTCTTAAAAGGGTAAATGACTTGTGTGGACCCCATCAGAGTCTTAAAGAGATGATACATGTATTGCAGGGATGGGTTTCAAATTTTTTAATAACGGTTCTGTAGACGTGCCTTGTTTGGTGGGTGTGGCTTGATGGTCATGTGATTGGTTGGTTATGTGATTGATTATCCCCACCCGAATGAAGAATGAATGTTGTTTACTATTTTACTTGTATGTATTGTTCTGTGTTTATTGTCTTGTACCCCCCCTTCCTTATTTTATGTAAGCCGCCCTGAGTCCCCGCGGGGAAAAGGGCGGCCTATAAATATTAATAAATACTCAAAATACTCAAATATTGGTCATGTGACTCGGTGGGCATAGCTGATTGGTCATGTGACTGGGTGGGTGTGGTCAACTTGATGTCATTCCCATCAAGGAGCACCTTGCCTTGCCTCAACGAGACCCCAACGAGATACAGTTTCTCTGTCTATTTATTTACTACTAAACATCCAAAATACACTATTTAATCCTATGTATATATGCCATATGTGTACATACATATTATATAGTATAGAGTGTATATTATAGGCAAACAAAAAGATACATTATCTACTATATATACTGTTTGTGTATGTACACACACAAACACAGACACACACAGAGAGCTCTTCTAAAACTATACACATTGAACCTCACTTGCTGCATTTGGAAAAAAAACACCCAAAGTCCACTTTCTGCCACAAATTTAACTATAACTTCTGTACATTAGAACATTACACACACCTTCAGATGTTATTCCCTAGCTTGTACATGACTGATATGTGGTGAAAATGTGAAAACTCACTTAACAACACTCTTGCTTAGCAACCAACATTTTGGACTCAATTGTGGTCATAACTCAAGGACTATCTCTGCCTTTCTCTGCACGGCAGCCTTGTCCTAGTAAACTCTTTCCCCTTTCTGGCAATTTCCCTCTCTGTTAGAGGCACAAAAATAATCCTGATGATATAAGGTTTCCTGCTAGGGCAGGAGGTTGGACTAAATGACCTCCGAGATCCCTTCCAGCCCTGGATTGCTGTGCTGTTTCAAAGCGTCTTCTAAAGCCAGGTCTAGTGCCAAGGTTAGCAGTACTTCCTTCCTCTCCTTTCTCTCTCTCTCTCTCATCCTTCCTTCCTCTTTCTTCCTCTTTCTTCCTCTTTCTTTTTTTTCTCTTCCTTTCTTCCTCCATTCCTTTTTCTTTTCTCTCTCTTTTTATTTCTTTTCTCTCTCGCTCGCTCACATTTTAGGAATCACATCTAAAGGCCCTCTAGAAGTCTTATTCAAAATTGATTACACGCCAGGCTGCCATTACTACCGGTTCAGAGAGGTATGCCGAACTGGGCCGAACAGATAGGAACTCATCTCTGATGTATTGCTAAATTATCCTCATTGTATCAGCTTACAGTTTACAGCTTACAACATTACACAATAATGATACAAACAAATCTTAATATTATTTTATTTAATTCTTCAAAATATTTTTTTCTCCAATTTTATTGGTATCATTTGAAACAAGTACAGTATTCTTGGCAAAATGCTCATTTTTATAATTGCTATTCTTCCTGATAGTGACAGTTGTAAGTCTTCCCATTTCTCATCAATTTCATCACAATTTTTATCTTTTGATTAACTATTTTATTCTATTGGTTTCTTATTTCCCCTGTTTGTCTGTTTACATTTTTAGAAATGTAAAACTACCTCATTGTCCCTCACTGAATTAGTAATCCTAAAATTCAGGATGTTTGCAATCCAAAAAGCTATTCCCCTGGCCTTAGAGCTATTGCTTAAAAATATTCTCCACAGACAGTGTGTATGGGATTTTTAACATAATTTCTTTTTTTTTTAATGTTTCCTGTATCCTTATGCTATCTGATTTATTAGACTTTTACTATTTCTCTTGCACATAATTATTGATCTAGTCACCTTAAGATTCCCTTTGGTAGTATTCAAATTATCTATATTTCAAAAATCCATAAATATAAAACAAAGAATATGTTTGAGAGAGTATAATGCTTACTCTGGAATTCTGTGGAGAGTAAACAAAAATTTCAAAAGAAAAGCATACATATTATAACAATCAATTAATAAAAATAAAAAGGAAGTAATTTTTGTTTTTTTCTAATTTAAAAATGTTTCTTATTTTTATTAATCATTAAAACAAATATCTCTGTCTAATCTCTCTGTAATTTCGCAGTCTCTATGTAATCTCTATTTCATTATGTTTCATTATTTTATCATTTTCTTTTGTATTTAACTTTGTCCTTAAACAACAGAATTTGACTAGAAATTCTTAAAAACGGAACTCATCCACCTGGTTAAGGACAGGAAGCTTTCTGCAGAAATTATTCATTGAGGAAGAATCTGTGAAGAAAATATGACTGCCCAAGAAAAGCTTATAGTGACTTCAAAGTCAGTAAGATCAACTGCAATAAAACTTGTCATCCCCTTGTTGATGGTTCAGGTAATGCTGGTAGGAAATGTTTTGTGTGGGCATGTGCTTATTTGGCCAACAGATGCCAGCCATTGGCTAAATATTAAAATAATAATTCAGGAACTGATAAACAGAGATCATCATGTCAGCATCCTGATTCCAACAACATCTCTCTTCATCACACCTGGAGATATTTCAGCTGCCAATTTTGAAGTATATTCTGTTCCCTTTACAAAGGAAGAGTTTAATTCTTTGATCACGGATTTCATAATGTTATGGTGGAATAACAAACCATCTATTACAACCTTTTATAGATTTTATCAGGAACTAGGGAAATTGATGGAGAAAGTAAATAAATTCAATCGGAAAATGTGTGAAGCAGTTTTAGCTAATCAAGAACTCATGTCTAAGCTGAAGAACGCTAAATATGATGTGCTTCTTTCTGATCCTGTGATGCAATGTGGTGATTTGATTGCTTTGAAGCTGAACATCCCATTCTTATATACGCTGAGGTTCTCTCCAGCCTCAACAGTGGAGAGACATTGTGGAAAAATGCCTGCCCCTCCTTCTTATGTTCCAGCTATTTTATCTGGGTTCACAGACAAATTGTCATTTGAAGAAAGGATAAAAAATATTATCTCTTACTACATTCAAGACTATATTTTCCAAAAATATTGGGGGGAATGGGATTCCTATTACAGTCAAGTTTTGGGTAAGTCATTTTTATTCATTTATTTACTTCTCAAGTATCATTGGTGTATCTTTTAGTATTGAAGAAAAACAGTTGGATTAAAAGAATTTTCATAAAACAGAATTAGAAAAGTCTCATTCTGAACATATAATTAAATATATTGCTACAGGTTAGAATAGATATGCCTGTCAATCCTACTTGTGTTATATTGGCTAGGGTTGATGGAATTGTAAAAGATCTGGGAGAAAAAAAAACTGAGGTAGATAATTTTCCTACCTGACAGTAATTTCATTTGAAAAAGTTTGGTATTTTATGTATTCAAAAAATAGATGAGATAGTCTTTTTCTTTCAGAGGTGCTTATGAGGCAAAGTCAAAATTGCATCTGTGCTGATATGTTCAAAGCTTCATTTGTGTTACATATGTAAAACATATAAAAACATGCAGATCCATCAACTCATTGTAGCTACCATTTTGATCTTAAACAGTTATACATCCAACCTCCTTTTGTTCCTTTTGTTCTTTGTTTTTTATTCTTCCATTTGTCTAGGTTCTGTTTTTAGCCAAACATGGCAGCGAAGTTGTCATATTTTGTTTGCTGTTCCACAGATCTAGAGATACGATTCTTATGGAAATTCACAAGTCCTATAAATTGGATGTACCATCTCACTTTAAATTTGCATTCTGCATATTTGTTTACTGTTTAATAAATAAAAATAAACATAAAAGAGAAGGCCAGCTGAATGTAATGTATTTAGTAACAGGTATAATTTTGCTTTCCTCCTATATAAAAAGATAGCACCTTGTTATTAGCACCACTAGTTCTGTTCTGAAGTTTTCTGAAAAACTGATAAATTATGGATAATCTCATACAGAAAAACAAGGTGTCCCCATTTTCCTCAAATATTAGTTGTATTTATGTGAATAGTACTTTGCTTACAACACAAGGTGAGCCTTTAACTCCCTGTATCCCAGAATTGGGGTTGAGGTATCACTCTTCAAATACCAGTTTAATCAAAACAGCCACAGATTATTAGCAGAGTAATTGGGCAGACAAGAATTGGAATTCAAGAACAACTAAAGGACTAGAGACTATCTGCCTTTGACCTGGGGAGCTCACTTCTGCTTCTGTCTCTAGGATATTTTTCCATGGCCGTGTTGGAAATAAACTTGCTGAATCTTCTTAGGAAGGAAAAAAGAGATTTGAACCTTCAGGTCGCTAAAACCTATCCAAATATGAAGATATTTAATAGGATTTTAAAAAACACATGGTACTGCTGCACCAAGAACAAATTCACCTGTAAATTGCAGGGATGAGAAGCCTTCCCAAAGAGACTCTCAACCTCTACCCCTTTTAAGTTATTGGGATTTTTTTTTTTGCTAACCACATCATAGTGCCTAACTCTTCAAACCAGCTGTTCTTTGAGCCAAACAGATATGAGAAGGATACCATATATTGAGCATATTTTGTTTTTGTGACATTAGGAATATCTAGTACTAACCTGCTATTTAAAATGATTGCATTTTCAATTGAGGGAGTAAAGCATGCCCTTCTGTTAAAAAGTAACTACATAATCTGCAACTAAATACTTTTATTGTTCTCCCTCCCCACTAATAATTATTGATATTCTTGGCCACCATTATGGTTAAGAAAGAAATGGGCTAGCACGTTAAAGAAATAATTCAGTTTTGCTGTTGCAAGCGCCCAGTTTAACAGGATTCGGGTTTTTCCTTCCATTTCCCATCCTAGTGAGAAACCTGGATTTTGTTGGGGTTTTTTTTGCATTCTTTGGCTGGATCCTGATCCAGAAGCAATAAAGATCTGACCTCTGTTGCCATTAATAAACTTATCCAGTTTATTCATAAATAAATAATAATTTGAAATACTTTTTTTACTTGTACTGGAATATTCAATGTAAGAAATTCTTGGTTAGATATTAAAACTTTGGCTCCGTTTTTATTTTACACTTCTAAATAATACTGGAAGAATTAAATGAAACAACTTTTTCTTTATGCACAGAATACATTTTTTTCTATTAACTTGAATTTATGAATCCATATGGATCAACAGGGAAACTGGCTCATAATTTCAATTATTTCAGTTTGTACTAGCCAACTTATCTAAATAACGAAATCATTTTAAAAAGGGCAGCAACAAAGATTACACACATGTATAGGTTTGTATAATTATTTATACCTGTGGATTTCTGGGAATAGATATACTTTAAAAAAATCAAAGTATAGGACCTGCATATCTTCTGTTCTATCTTGTATTGATCAAATGTTTTGATTTTTATTCACTGCTTTCTTTTCCTCCTATGTTCCCAGATAACTGGGCAAGAACCTGACTTGGGCATCTCCACAGAACCTGCAATTTACACTACACATTCAATTCCATTGTAGCTTTATAGTTTGTATTCCATGTGATTCAGATGACTCCCTGCAGATTAACTTTCAGAACAAATATAAGTTCTAATTCACCAAATTGAATTTTTAAAAAAATGAATCCCCCCCCATCCCATCCACCCCCTGGTTGGCCATCTGTTTCAGTTGCTGTTTCCTTTTTAGGTTTATCCATATGGTATGTGAATTCAGTATGCTCATCATAGCTAAAGATTGTTTTTTAAATTATTACCCAATGCTAGTGGAAGATTCCCCATCAAGAAAGTTGATCTATTTTGGCCCTCCAGTGAACAAATGCATGGTTTTGGGAAAGTTTTGCTCACCCTTGATAACATGTTTTTTAAAACTGTTGAGTAACATTCAGTTGAAAACATAAATGTATTGATTTTGAATATTTCTGAAATCAGTATCACTAAACCTATTAAGTACCAATGCAGAAAAAACAAGCAGTACATAAATATATTTGAATATAAGCAGTACATAGCTCTATTACTTTCTATCTGAAGGGAGACCCACAACACTGTGTGAAATAATGGGTAAAGCAGAAATATGGTTAATCCGAAGCTACTGGGATTTGGAATTTCCACGACCTTTTCTACCAAACTTTGAATTTGTTGGAGGTCTGCACTGCCAGCCAGCCAAGCCTTTATCTGAGGTAATTATATCCTTCGTCATTGATCTGGTAATAACAAAGCTTTTTCAAAGGAAGTACAATGGAAAAAATGCCTTAGAAGCAGCATTTTTTTGTGGATTTTCTTCTTTGTCTCAGATAGTTTGTGGAAACTGAAAATAAGGTAGCCATAGAATGAAGATGATCTGAAATTACAGTAAGATTTGGGGACAGACACGTATTCTTGAACTGTAGCTTGCATATTAATGATTGAAAAACAGAAATGGATTGGTGAAAAGAGATCTCAGTAGGGAATCAAAATGAAGGAAGGTCTTGTTCAATAAGAGTTCTGGAAGACCTCTTGAAGACCTGAAAAAACCATGTTAGGGACAGATCATCATAGAAAAAAAATCTATTTATATGATTGCTAAGAGTCAATATTGATTTGATAGTACATAATCCCCCTTTTGCTTAGATTCAAAGAATAACATATTCTCTGTGTTAGTAAATCACAATGTCCACAAGGCAAACTCTGATCATCAGTAATCCCAGGGAAGCAAATCACAAATTACCAAACAAGTATGCAGATTTTGCAGATGTATTTTGAAATGAAGAAGCAGTAGTCCTTTCATCACACAACCTGCAACAGTGCTATAGACTTAATTCAAGGAGCTAAAATACCTTCTAAGAAGCAGTTTCCCATGTCAGCTAAGGTGTTATTGGTTTTTGACCAGTGTTTGGAATCTAACTTGTAGAAGTACTTAAATAGACCTTTGACGTCACCAATTTCAGCAGCTACCCTTTTCATCCCCAAGAAGATTCTGATACCACAAACCAAGTGGTGAAGTTCCCTTGTGAATTGTTCATGACTACAAATGGTTGAATTCTGTGATGGTGAGACATTATTATCCATTACACCTAATATTGGATTTGCATCTGATGTTATTTTGGGATGTTTTATCTGAATGACATCCTAATCTACTCGAAAGACGAATCTCACATGACCACCATGAACAGGAGATTTTCAGTAAGCTAAGGGAAAATCATCTTTTAGTTAAATTAGAAAATGCCTTTGATTTAAAACAGTGCCACATTTCCACAAGTAGAATTGAAATGGATCTTCAGAAAGTCCAAGCAGCAACCCCCCTACACAGTTAAGTATGTTCAGAACTTCTTAGGTTTTTGCAAACTTTTATAGAAAGTTTATCCCATGCTTTGCCCATAAACACAGCTATTGAAAAAAGGAGTCAAATTTGCTTGGACACACTCACAGCAAACTGAGGAGTTAAAACAACTTGTGGCATGCCAACACCTCCTTCAGTATCCTGGACCATCACTCAGACTGATGCCTCTCATGTGGCTGTCAGGGCTGTTCTCTTGCAAGAGGACTGGGAGGGGGAAAGTGCTCTTCGTCTTGAGTACTTTTCTCAAGGTCATTGACCACTCTAGAACAAAACTATGACATTTTAAACAAAGAAGTCAAGCCAGCCTTCTAATAGTGGAGGCAATTTTTGGAAAGCGTGCATTGGCCCATCAAAGTCAACACTGACTATAAAAACCTAGAAATGCTGCAATGATCCAAGGTAAGTGAGATGTAGTCCATTCTTCCTATTTGACTTCTATATATAGTATGTCCAAGGTTTGAAGAATTTTATTCCAGACATGCTGTCCCATAAACCAGAGGACTCACATTATTCCAGAGCTCAATAGGTGCCAGCATCATACAGCCTTCTAATTTCAATTGCAAACCTGACGAGCGCACGCTTCATTTTCAGCACAGTGCCGAAAAGATTCGCCATTACTGTCAAAATTCTTTGATTTCTTGTCAGCTTGCCTGTCTTGAATCGCAATGAATAAATTGTTACTATATAATGGTTAAAACTATAAATTGAAAGCCACCTTGATGGACTACTGAATCTTGTTCTGATGGGTTTGTTCTCCTATGTTCTGCCATGCATTTATGAAGATGTTGTTTTGTTTCCCCAATGTAGAGCTCTGCATGTCTCACTGCATTGTGCTCTATATGCCACAATGCTGTTTGTGTCTGGGTGCTTTATCCTTGGGGTCGACACGCTTCATTAAGGCAGACACCCATTTTTCTGAAATAGTATAGAGTCTCCTGCTTGAGCAAGGGATTGGACTAGAAGCTCTCCAAGGTCCTTCCAACTTATTATTCTATTTCTTCTTCTTCTTTCAAATGCAAATGACTACATGCTGTTTTTTCCTGGTCCATCATCTGCTTGCATTATGATCAAAAATTATGTGATTTGAGCACACTAATCATGGCCAACCAAAGAAAATGAAACATTTCATGCCATGATAAAGAGGTCAGATTCTTTTTTTTCTTTGCTAACAGGAAATTGAAAATTTTGTACAGAGTTCAGGTGAACATGGTATTGTAGTATTTTCCCTTGGTTCACTGGTTCAAAACTTAACAGATGAAAAAAATAATATAATTGCATCAGCACTCAGCCAGCTTCCACAGAAGGTCAGTGTCCTAGGTGTAAGTCATACACACAAATTTCTATGAAGGAAAACACTTTATGGATAATCCAGAAATCTTCATTTTCTTCTCCAATAAATTTCTGACTTAGTGATTTACAAAAGATGCTTATATTTCATAATTTTCATTTAATTGAACTGTGTCTAAAAATTTTTTATCCTGATAACTTTTAACTTCTTTGGAGTTTGACAATTTAGAACATATGCATTTTCAATTGATTTTATGTAATTTACTTCTTTCTGAAAATTCCCACAATACTAAGGGATTGCAAATACTCTGTTAAAACTCATATTTTCTATTAACTTTATGATAAAAGACACAAGAAATACATTCTAACACATCTAATTCTGGTTATGCAACATGTTTTAAATGCAAGAATTTAAAACAAAAATTACTAGTACAACGAGTTCCCCATTTTATTGTTATAAAAAAGAATGGCATGTAATTTTATTTATTTATTGCATTTAAATTATCTTGCAATTTTATAGGAATTTCAGCAGTTTCACAAGGAGCAAACATTAAAAGATCCATGACCCAATTCAATCACCCAAACCCAAACAAACTCAAAAATCTAAAATTCATCAGCCAGGATAAATTCTAACATTGTTTGCAATTTGGACTACATGGAATCGTTTTCCGATTATTTTACCCTAGGTTATCTGGAGGTATAAAGGGAAAAAGCTAGAAATGCTTGGAGCCAATACCAGGACCTATGATTGGATACCACAAAATGATCTTCTTGGTGAGACACCTTATGCTTCTTTAGACTGAATACAACAGTCCCTATGTCGTATCTTAAAGGATTTTGTCAGAACATTTTCATTTTTTTATTCCAGGCCATCCAAAGACCAAAGCATTTATAACACATGGTGGAACCAATGGAATTTATGAAGCCATTTACCATGCAATTCCCATAGTAGGGATTCCCCTATTTGCAGATCAGGCTGATAATATTATCCATATGAAGGTGAAAGGAATGGCTGTGGAACTAGATATCCACACAATGAAAGCAGATGATTTAGTAAATGCTGTGAATACTGTCATTCATAATGATTTGTGAGTTGTTTACAAACTCTCTTCGGAATATAGATTATGTCTAAGATATTAATAGTAATCAATTTGCTGGTTTTTTTCCTTTGATGTCATGATTATTTTAGTAATTCTGGTTACTTTACCAGTTATTTTATCTCAATTATGCCCAATTTTCGTATATATAAGGAGGTAACAGTAGAATATGTACTTTGAGCATTTTACTGGACTGGATTCCTTTCCAATTATCTGTGCTACTTAGGACTAAATAGAATTTGGAGCATTATCCTTTCCCCGGTATAGAATGCATTTGTGCTTTGTTCAGTATACCTAAATTCATTGTTCAGAAAAGGATCTTAAAATTCTAGCTAACTTTTTGATATTTTTTATATATGAAAATGAATAGAATGCAAGTGTTATTGAAGATAAAATAGTATTTTAATGGAGTATAAATAAGCTAGCGGCTATAATAGTAATGAACTAGGTAAGAAACTTTTAACAGGCACTAAGCTAGTTTGAATTTTGACAAATCAGTAAATTGTTTGATGTAAAGTCTATAAGTGCTTGAAGACTGAAGTTCTTAAAAACAATAGAAAGCAGATTTCTGACTCTTTCCTAATTTATTCTTTTCCTTGTACTTTAATTTTTCCAGTTTTAAGAAAAATGCTTTTAAAATATCTCAGGTCCATCATGATCAACCGATAAAGCCGCTGGACCGGGCTGTCTTTTGGATTGAATTTGTCATACGTCACAAAGGTGCCAAACATTTGCGAGTAGCTGCCTATCACTTGACTTGGTATCAGTATCACTGTCTGGATGTCATAGCCTTCTTGATTGGCTGCACAGTAGTTTTTGTATTCATCGCTTTTAAATGCTGTTCATATTGCTTTGGGAAATGTGGCAACATTTTACAAAAATCAAAAACAGATTAATTTTTCTGGGACTGAGTCCCCAACACTGATTAACATAGTTTATGCTCATACGCTGTACATTAAGATTTATATTAAAATGTTTCCATATAATTAGATTCCATTCATAACATTAAATTTTATTTTTATGTGTAAAGGGTTAACAAATTTAGTTTTGATTTGATTGGTAGTTAGGTGATTGAAGTAGAAATTGAGCTCTAATGAGAAATATTTTTTTCAAATGCTCCTCTATAATTTTCTCCAAATCAAATTGTTACTTTATTTAGAAATTCATATGTAATTTTTTCCTCAAAATCCCAATCACTTGTTTAAAAATGTTTATGGAAGTAGCTAATACAGGAGAATTATATTAGACTAAGTGATGTACTTATCTTCAGCAAACACATACATGAGGAAAAGTCAGATTAAACAGTAATCTATATATAAAACTTTTGATTGTGTTGCATTGTAGCTGTTCGGATGAATACATCTTTGCTACTGTTATTAAGAGTAACAAGAGTTAATGAGCATCCAAAAGTTGCTGCTTTCACAATAGTTTTTATAACTTCTATCAGAAAATACTTGCTATGAGGCCAAAAAAAACCAAATATCTTGGAGAGACTTCACTGGAATTCACTGCTTGTCTTGTGCAATATTTTTATCAACAAATGGGCTTTACAAGCTGTAAAGGGTTAAAGGGAAAATTCCAAGATTTGTTTTCTCAAGATTTAAAACATTTTTTAAATGGATTATGCATCTATCATGGCTACTGTTCCCCAAGCCAAGCTTTGCACATCTGACAGCCTGACATTTGGGGTGGGAGGTGGGGAGAAAAATCTAAGCATGGCGACTAAGGAATGAAAAGCAAACACCTGCTCGCCAACATCACCCATCGGAGTGCAAAGCAGAAAAGTCCATCAAACCAAAGACCCATTACCCAAAAGATACCAGTACCTGATTAAATGTTTGCTGATAAAAAGGGGAAATGGCCAGGGAAAAGGGAATGTTAATTGTGTAGTCTGCACCAAAATGCCAGAACTAGCTTCGTTAAACTTCTGTAACCATTTAAGCTCCAGTAGAGTATACTCTTGGCAAAACAATGGCCCAGTATCTTTCTTTGCTGGGTGAATAAATGGGATGGTTGACTGCATCGTTTTCTTACAATTGTGAATAAAATGTTTAAAACAAGACACAAAATCTTTTGCCTCCAGCAACCAACTGGTTTTGAATGTAATAAATTTACAATTAATTCTCACAAAATTATCTTTTCTGTGCAGAGGAAAAAATAAAAATAGTGCATTTCTTGATATACTGTCCTTGAGAAAGCACAACCCATTTCTATCCTCTAGAATATTCTGTTGTCCTGCTAGCATGACTAGGCTCCAAGGGATGGGGTGTATGGAGAAAAAAACAGTCTGTCTATTTTCCTCTTCCAGATAGGAAATACTATATCTAGGAGAACAGTCAGTCTGTTCTCCTAGATATAGTATTTCCTACCTGGAAGAGGATCATTTTAAATTAAGGTGTCTTTTTGAGTACATGCTATATTAAAATGAGTTAACCAATTGCATTACTTATTCTAGGCACCGTTAATATAAAATTCCTCTTTTTCGCCTTTTAATGCTTTTATTCCATAAAAGAAGAAAACACCACAAAAAGTTAAAAGAAAACACTATTTTAATAGAAATACAAGGGTTTTGAAGTCAGAATATTAACCCTTTAATTGACATCAATGCATTTTCTATATAAATTATAACTGATTTCTAATCTCTGTTTCAAAAATACCCAACCACACTTTCAAATTGGTTAATCAATTATTGTTATATTAAAATGATTTTATGAGCAATTATACATAAACTGCATTATATTCCTATGTTGACAAAATAACAAGATTGGTAAAGAACACCAGGTATTGCCATTTTTTGTTTTATTTTAGAATAGGAAAAAAGAAATGTTATTTGTAGAATTAAAATGTCCAGAAACTTTATACCTCTAGCCTTTTCATTAAAGAATGACTATAATTTACTAGAATATCAGGCTATTCCTACTATAATATCAGATAGAGAATTTGCTTCATCTCAGGTATGAACAAGCATTCTTACTGGCAGCAAATTGCAATAAATAGCATGGGAGTTGGTTAAATAAATTAACATGGAACTGTTCACTGGCCACTATTTTCCAAAAGTTTCCTTTTTCTATAACAAAACTATGTACTTTCCTGAGTCTGAGATTCCCGTACTTATATTTTTATGGAGTTATTAATAGATCTGCCACAATTTAAATATATTGGATAAGAATGGAAATTTATTTGAGTTATCATTACCTAGAACAACCCTGACAATGCCTCTTTTTCTGTCTCATGCTGAGGCCTGAATGCCTGAAATGACATTGACAAATTAATCATTAATCTTTCTTTTTTAGAAGCCAGAAAGCATCAAGTCCATGGAATTTGACTATTAGCAATTTATTATAAAAAAAGAAATGATAGCAATGTAGAATACAACAGTATTTGTGCTCACGCATATATGCACACACACATACAGTGGACATTCTAAACAGTATGGTTAATTTGGAGAAAAAAGGGTGCAAGTGAGGTGATTAGACGAGCATTAAACAAAATACAATCAGAGCACAGGTTCAATAACATATTACTATTGCTTTCATTATTGAACAAGCTTTTTCTTTACAAAAATTAAAACAGAAACAGAAAAACAAAAGGCGACGGCTTCAATACTGCCATACAGCCAACTATCACACACCCAGTATTTTTGCGTACTTGATAGCAGCATTCCACACTTACACCCCCCCAAGAAATATTAAAAGCTACATGTAAAGAAAAACAGCAAAAATCATGGCAGCTAGTAACTTGTATTCAAAGGAACATATAATTAAATTATTAAGATAAACATGTTGGGAAAATTCATCTACATTCTTAAAATGTTTGCCTTCTAAACTGCCGCTTAAATGAAAATATCAACTGAAGAATCAAGCTTCGCATGTTTTTGGCCGAAATAAGTATTTCAGTTCACAGCTTACAGCATGCTTGGAACGGGGCAATTATAAATTCATCTACACAATCAAGTATGATGACTTAGGAAAATAAAAGTTTACTACTTGTAAACACGCAAATATACAAGCCTTTGCTTCCTTAAGTAACTCTAGTTTCACAATACATTATCTTCTGTATCTTCCTCTTTCCCCTCTGTCTCTGTCCCGATCACATATTCTTTCCCTCTCCCTCTCCCTCCCTCGTTCCCGATCCCTGTCTCTTCGGTTATCTCGGGGCCGATCTCGTTCACGATCCCGCTCTCTCTCTCGAGGCCTGCTTCTCCGGCCGCTGACAACTGCTTGTGTCCGTCGTAGAAAGTCATCTACCCTCATGTCATAGTCATGCTATGGAAGACAGAATAAGTTTAAATATTACTGAGTTTAAAATCACAACTTCTATCAACTTGGCAGTTACTAAAAATACTTGCATCTAAAAGGCTTCCAATTATCCAGCAATAGTTAATTGTTGTAATGTTAACGTATTTAATAAAAGTGTTAGTATATACTAAAGACCACTTTGATTTAGGTAATAATTTTGCAAATCTGAATTGTGCTACTACTCTTTTATAACCATGCGATTTAGGAAGATGTCTGTCAAGAGTGGTTTCCACATATTTTCTACATGTCCTAGACTTAATTTATATTTATTCTTTGGTAACTCCTCCACTCTCCCTCAGGGCCATCCTCTTTACATTCTGCAGCTTCCACATGCTGATCTTTATTTATTTTTTACTGAAAATTTGAAATATGCTGCCTGCAAACTTTACCTCACTGAGTTCTACAAATATGTAAATACGTCCCCCCCCCCTTTCTTTTCAATTGTGTTTGATTATAGAAGACTGCCTGGACAGGTCCCTCAGTACTTTTGCAGTTTTTGGAAGTGGTTTGCCATTGACTCCTAACTAGAGCTGAGAGTGACTATTCCAAGTGACTATTCACTCACCTGGCTTTCTATCTAAAGTGGAATCAGAACTCATGATCTCTCACTTTCTAGCCTGATGCCTTAATCACTACACCAAATTGGCTCTCATTTAGCTGTAGATATTTCATAATGAACATAATGGTTCTCAACCAAATCTGATGTGTGCATTTTCCTAACTTGGCAGTGACTCAGGCTGCACTTACCACTCGCTTATCCCTGTACCGTGCATCATGTGGCATGGGATGGTGTCCTGAGTAAGGAGGGTGAGCCTGTGGAGGAGGAGCATGGTGTTGGTAGTATGGGTGATGGGGAGGCTGTTCTATACCTGGGTAAGGAGGCTAAAAAAAATAAAAATCCTTGTTATTCCAGTAACCTGCTACCCCAGAACACAGCAGCATCAACAGGAAAATATAATTCAATTTGAGCAGTACTTCAATATATATCTATATCTATATCTATCTATATCTATATATATCTATATATATCTATATCTATATATATCTATATATCTATCTATATCTATCTATCTATCTATCTATCTATCTATCTATCTATCTATCTATCTATCTATCTATCTATCTATCTATCTATCTATCTATCTATCTATCTATCTATCCATCCATCCATCCATCCATCCATCCATCCATCCATCTATCTATCTATAATGGTATTTGAGTTCTCATCAACAAATACATTTTCATAACTGATCCCAAGAAGGCTGAAGTTATTTAGAGCATTTTCTTATAGCTCCTGCTAATAAAAGATACTCTTAAAATATTTTTTTTGTAACAAGATAGAATAGGATTCAATAAATAAGATCAATTGTCCAATAAAAGTTTGAACTGAACACTCTAATCATTATTACTGCATTAGGACTGTGCATCAACCACAAATTTGATTTCAGACCAATTTGACATTCCAATCAATCAATTTTTATTATAGCCACAGACCAATATTACAAATAAAAGCATTAAGAACAATAATAATAAAAATAGAAAAGCATACAAAATAATATATTAAATTAGTGATGGATTAATGGACAGCTAGAATCTGACTAATTTTGCATGTAGTGTAACAACATTTGGCTACATTTAGAGACACTACTTTGTGCTGATCTGATAACAGTAGTTACCATATTTTTCGAAGTATAAGACACACCAGAGTATAAGACACACCAAGGTTTTGAAAAGGCAATTTTTTTAAGAAAGTAGAGAGAGAGGGAGAGAAATTTAGTAGGTAGGAAGAGAGAGAGAGTAGGTAGGTTGGTAGGTAGAGGGATGTATGTAGAGAGAAATAGAGAGAAAAATACAGTAGATAGGTAGGGAGAGAGAAATATAGTAGGTAGTTGGGGAGAGAGAGTAGGTAGGTAGATGGAGAGGGAGGTAGGGAGAGAGAGAGAGATACAGTAGATAGGTAGGAGTAGGTAGATAGGTAGATGTTTCCAGGTGTATTTATCCATGTGCTGAGAAGGAAATTGCTGACAATCTGCAGCACCCAAGACTTTGTTTCTGCTGGCACAGCACTTGATCAATGTAATTCTTATCAATCAGTTAAAGAACTTTCCAAAAGAGGGAAAAAGTTTTTGCCCTCTGCAAACCTCCCAAAAATGGGCCCATTTTTTTTAAAAAAAGGCACGGATAGCTTGGGTGTGTGTGTGTTGCAGAGTGCTCCTGGGGGGGTCGCCCCCCCCCAAAATGAGCAAAAAAACAGCCCATTTTTTGTCAAAAAAATTGCACGCATAGCCTTATGGAGGCTTATAGAGTGCTGCTGGGGGGGGGATGACCCATTTTTTGCTCATTTCTGCCCTCCCCAGCCCCCAGGAACTCTCTGAAAACCCACATATGTAAAGTAGTTTATTTCAGGTCAATGGATAGTGCCCAGAATGTTTCTCTGAATCTGCAAGCATGGAGACAGGAAAGCTAATGCTCAGAATGAACTAAGTCTTGGAATGGACAGAGCTAAAACAAAATACTGACCAATAGCCCAAACCTGCAAGGATGGAGTCAGAAAATTAAGGATCAGAATGAACTAAGATTTGTAACAAATGCAAAAAATATTTTTTAAAAGATTTTTCAACCTGTAAACAAGAAAAAAAGTCAAAGAAACAATAGATCTATTAAAAGAGAAGATGGCAAGATAGTGAAGAGGATCAAGAAAAAAATGGAACTGCTTAATTCCTTCTTTGCATTTGTCCACATGCAAAAGGAAAAATTAGTCCAATCTATCAAAAATAGCAAGGTGGGAGACAGAACAGGAAAGGATAAAATGGGGGGTGGGTGGAGGGAGAATGACACAATAGTAAAGAAAACATAGTTCAAATCGCAGAACCAGAAGTATTACATCCCAGGATTCTGAAGAAAACAGCAGGTTGATCCCAGAATCACTGAGTTTCTGGAATAGAGAGTCCCTTCCTGCCCTATGATTCAATTATAAAAAAAATGCATTTTGAATAAACATAAATACATTTTTAGAGAATGAGAAATATGTGTTGGTGATATGTAAAGAGAGATAGGGAAAGAAAGGAACTAGGAAGATGGAAAAAAAGATCAATGGTTAGAGCAGTTGGATATATTGCACTTAAAACTATATAACACTGAGAATCTGAAAAATTATCACTAATGCCTGCAAGGGCTAGGAATAAAAAATTATGAATAAAAAAGATGTGTGTGAGAGTGTGTTTATATCAAAATTTTAAAAATGCATCAAAAGATGATGGATAACAGATGTGAACCATAACAGAAAATCTGTCTGGCAGGTATTTTGGAATATTTTATCTTTAGCATAGCGTACCTAAAGGTGATGACTAGATTTTCATACCACTTGGTATATCAAAATTTTAATACTGTGAAAAGTTCAAGAAGGCACATGTATCATTTCAGTAACTGTCCTAGAAACGACTACATTGCTACTTCTTTGAGATAAATGCTAGTTAATCAGTTAACAAGTATAAGATACACTTGAAAACCTTTATTGCAACCAACCATTTCAGTTATATTGCTGTTATCTGACCCATTGGAGGTAGCTGACATGAATTCTCAGCTGGTCTTAACAGGAAAAACTTTTAAAGATTTTTTCTTTTTAGAAATGTATCACAAAACCTAAAATACTAAAAAAATCTAAAAAAATATTTTTTATATATATTCTTGTAAAACCCAACATCTGTGTTGAACACTATAGGTCATTTTCAATTTTAGAGGATTAGCTTCCCCAAGAAAACAACTGGATCATTCAAGAACATCTGGAGAAGAAATGGAATATTCTAGAAATGTTCTGGAATAACATAATTTATGTCAGCTTTCTGACGTAATCCAGATAGGAAGTGTATCCAGATGAACTAATTCTACTTTATTATAATTTTAGAGTTCACAGAATTTTAAGAACATTTTAACATTTCTACCCTGGTGCCTAAGGGAAGCTTTGTTCTGAGACATTTTCCACATTCCTGCTACGTGCTAAGCTACCTCTTATCCAACTGTACTCCGGCTGAATCTCTCAAGGTCATTTATACATACCATTGCATCTATAGCTTCTTATTGTCTAACAGAGATCATTTTTCTTTCTCCTCATACTCATCTGAAATGTTACTATTTCTGTCATAGCATTTCTTTGAAGAGGATTTAAACCTGTGTTTAAAGTATGGGTTTCATTATAGCTGGTTTGTATGGCTAAGTTGCTTAACAACCCATCTGCGTTTATGATGGAACAGGCGGTTTTAAGGTCCATAAAGCATCCATTTGTAAAAATATTGTGCTGCAATTTGGTCACATGACCACATGTTGGGCACTTGGCGAACTGTCAGATCTATGAGCACTCATAATGTTCCATGGTCAAGTGATTGTGATTTGTGATGGCTACCAACAAAAAAGCCCAATGGATTCACATTTACAACTGTGGCTTTGCCTAATGAACCCTAGTAGACTACAATCACTTCTGTTCATGTCAGCGCTTGAACTTATGACCAAAATTACTTATGACCAGGTTTCCATGTAGCCATAAGTCAAGGATTACCTGTATTGCTTTTCCTCATTTATTTGCTAATCATGGTATAATGCCGTGATGGCAAACCTGTGGCACACAGAGCCCTCTCCACGGGCACATGCCATCACCCAGCTAAGCTCTATTGTACACGCCTCCTGCCACCACCTGATTTTTGAGTCTCTGTCACGCATGTGGGAGACCCGTGCGCATGCACAGGGGTGGGTGCATGTGCATGTGGTGCACTGCATTATAGGTGTGGGCACACATGTGTGCAATTTCAGCACGCAAGGAGAAAAGGGTTAGCCATCACTGGTATAATTCTTCCATTTTGACAGTGTAAGCTGCTTTAGTTCAGTTTTTCTTTTCATCTCTATTATACAATTATGCAGCAGAATCTTTTCTGAAATGTGTTGTGGGTTGAGTGTGTAACTCTAGATTTTCATGGGAATTGCTTTGTCTATAGTTTGACAACAACAAAAAATCAGTTCAGTATAAGGAGCTTTAATTTCCATTTACTTCTCAATCATTGTTTACTGCTTAGTTCAAGGGTACACAAACAAAGCCTCCCTTCCAAAAGCCCAAGGGACAACACAGAGTGCTGTTTCTTTTGCTCTGGAGTGTGGTATGTCTCTGAGTGTAAGCATTCCATAATAACTTATGATGATGCTTAAAACACTCATTTTAATTCCTGAAATCTTGTCATGGAGTGCTCCGTTACAGTCCTTGAGGCAACAGATATTCTGTACCCCTGATGTAGTTCTTTCCCACTTAAGATCATGTAATTTTCAAATAAACTATGGCATGAAAAACATGTAAATTACTACTTGGATCTTACTGATTTCATTGATGAAAACTGCTATGCCAAGAATTTTTACAGGTACTACTTCTTGATCATACTTGTCTAAATCATTTGACTAAAATTAGTAATTAAAATTAGGAAGTTACACCATAAAGGTCTGCCCAAAATTTTCAAGTGAGACTTAAAGCCACAGCAAAATGCTATTTTCCACATAAATGAGAGGGACAGCTGTATATATCAATATTCCCTGATAATACTATGGTTGTAGTAGTGCTAAAATCAAAGAATACAAAATTACAAACCATTCCTTGCCAAGGCGGTGGTGGTCCCATGTTATGAAATTCTCTCACATAATCATTGTAAGACTACAAAAAAAGAAAGCACATATACAAGACTGTCAAAATCAAGCTATATTAAAATCATCTACCATTACCACCTATGAAAGACCATAAACTTACCCCATTTAAAAAGACATCTCTCCGAACTCCTGAAAATCGTCTGTTGAGAATAAGATTTATTAAATTAGACACAAATACTCAGATATCTTAGATTAGAAAATGCCATTGTTAGACATCTCTTACCTGTCTATATCTTGATATCTGGGGTCTTTTAAATACCCTGTTTAAAATCAAGCAGCATTACGTATCACATTTATTATATTTGGCAACATAAATAGCCATTACCATCTTTATTTTAAGCATGCTACTGCCTTGCTACTCATAGGAATGACTCTTCTCTTCCCAACTGGCCCATGAATTTCAATTTTAAAATAACTATGTAATACTTTATGGCAAAGGTAGTAAAAATGTTTTCCTGCAGGAGGCTGAATCTCAGCTAATACCATCTTGTATTTTTAGGCAGACTGCCTGGAACTGTTGGAATTTATTCAGTCATATACTATATGAAGGACAACTGTTCCTATGCTCCCTCCCCACCACACACCAAGACATTGTGTGAAATTAAATGAATGCTTGGACTACTCAGAATGCAAGGCAGTTTATGTAAACTGATTCCTTTTTCTAACTTTTGGTTTGACTTACAGATTTACAAGAGCTAGTCCATTCTCCATATTACACACCTCTATTTGTTCCAAAGTGGCCATGTTATTGCATAACTATTAGAATCTTATCAGTGATAGTTATTCCAAGCAAGTCCCCTTACTCTTATATGTATTGTTACGTTCTCATATTTCAGTTATCTTACTCAAAGTCTTTATGACCTTAATTTTAAATAATTTATTATTCACATTCCCACGACTATTGTAATACACAAATCTGTAAATTTGTGCATATGCATTTAAACAGTAAAATATTAACCTGGTCTTTGGTGAAACTCAGAGGGATAATCAATCCTTGGTTTCTTTCTGCTGTTATGAATATCATAATCCTCTGGTCGACGCCTACATAAATTAGACAATAATTAAGAACTGTTTGGAACAACTTACGTAAACATAACATCTTTAGAAGGACTCACCGGAACAGCTCACAATTTTTTGGAGATTTTTGTGTGTATGTTTTCTGTAATTCTCTATGAGTTTCCCAGAATTTGTTACAAGGAATTTGTATTTGTGGTAGCAACAAAATGTATATTCTTAACTAGATATTATGAAAATTTTAGATTAACAGAGAGCTTCATCCAACCACACCTAGTGTAAATCCAGTCATAATATGAATTCCGTTAACAGTCCCATTGACTTTTTGTGGTGGGTTCTCTTTTGTCCATAAAAATTGCAGCATGAAATCTATTTGATACTTACACAATTTCTACATTGAAGTTTACCCTGAAAGCATAAGCTACATACTTTGTGAATACCATTTTATACACTTGACTGATTAACTGTCTTACTTGGTCTGTAAAAAACTTTTATCAATTTCCAACACGTAAATCCCAACCTGCATAGACACAATTACTTGTTACTGTACAGGAAAAAAAATGTTTTAAGGCATAAATATTTTAACAAAATCATAATCTTGGAATCAAGAGCCCATTATTGTAGGTTTCTATACATTTTAATAAAATGAATTTTAAATTGTTTTTAATGATCTTTCATATTTCTTGCTCTAGTTTGCTTTTGACTCTTCATTAGCAAGTTACCTGGTGTTCCCTTCTAATGCACCTTCACAATTTCTATAACAAGGAAACATGAATAGACCATAAAATGATTCCTCCCGCCTCCCCATTTATTATTTAAATTATCATTAAGAATAAGTATCACATTCTGAGAAAATAAAGCAACTGTACGTACAGCAAAAAAGAGTTTTAGAAAATAGCTGGTGTAAAAAATAAACATACCGCTTTCTTGTAGTTTGAGTGTCCACTTACGGCCGGTATAATATATGATACTAACAGTTCATATAGTAGTCCAACTACTGACTTTAAGCTGAAAGCCACATACATAAATGGAGGCCCTGGCAGGCTTGAGAAGGTGTGATGGTGTTATAATGTATAGTTTGCAGTCCATTGCAAAACTTTCACTTGTAAACACTTTATTGCACTGGAAATCTCTTAGGGCTTAACTTCAAAAGCCATCTTGGTGCTCAGTCCTTTTATGCCCAAAGAAAGGGGGGTTGCTGCCAGGATTCCTCCTACCTACAGGTTACAATGTCCTTTAAGAGCAAGGATATGGGGACTCGTTGGATATCTGTACCTACCACAGGACATTTCCACAAACTGGAAACTCTAACCAAATTGGTTTCAGCCCAAACCATACAGTCTTTAGCAGAAAAGCTTTAGATTTATCAGAAAACAAAGTGGCTACACGGGGATCAGGGAAACGTGTTGGATAGGAGGGATTATTATCAGTCCTTTGCAAAGACTCCTCCAATTCTGTAACAAGTTATATACTTTTTTCTGGGGAAAGTTGTTAAGTTCATAGAGCAGTGATCAATAACCATGGCGATCCTCTAAAACAACTTTTAAGTCCACGGGTGCTGCCAGCATCTGGAAAGGTTGTATACATTGACACAGCAACAGCCATTCTTTTTGGTTTGTTGCCGGGTCTCCAAGGGCTACTTCCTTTGGAGAGAACCTACGGCTTCCAGAAGCACAGCAAGATGTAAGAGAATATTTGGCAATGGGCATAACCACAGCACGGTGATACAATTTGAAACAGTCCCAAACACGTTCTTCTTGAACAGCAAAATATTATAAATATTTTATCCTCAATATGAGGCGACCATCTTCTGCAAAATTATAAGTGATCCTGATAAAAGTCCCATATTGACAAGGCTTATCCAGAGATATACCTGAAAGAAAAGGCTTTTACAAGATATTAACACATTTTGGAACACAGACTTGATTTTCCTCCACCTAACCTGGTCTTGAAAAAAATCGGCTTACCTACAATTGACTAAAAATCTAGTCAAAACTAGATTGACATAAACTTTTCTGTGTAAGCAAAATGTCCCCATTTTCCTCTTGAAAGTGACAAACTGGGGGAGAGGGACAATGTGAAATCCTCAATGAAGCCACAAGCCCATCCATGCAGCATGATATGAGGATTTTCTCTCTTCTTGATTGCAGGGAAAGCTTTTTGATGAATCATATTCCTCCATCACGTTATTCTGACACATGTGCCTATTATCAGTCCAAAGAATGTTTCTAACCTTCCCACATCTCGGAGTGGCTCTCGACGGGATGGACGTCCTCTTGACCGGGGTTGAGAGTGCATTCTTCTCTTATGACGCATTTTATGAATGACCTGATACAAGTCAATACTTTCATCAGGAGGGAATAGGAGACAAAGTTGGGTTCCACATTCAAGCTCAATTTCCTGTAAAAATTAAATGTTGATAAGTTCATGTCAGAGCCCACACAAAGGAATCAATGTTTAATTATACGGTTTCATTCTAAGGCCAATTGAAGACATTTTATGAATGCTAATGCCTAATTTAAGGAAAAGCAGGTCCATTAAGCATATGTTAAATTGCATATGTTGTAGTGACTTTAGTGAAATTAACAAAAGAGATGGATCAAGGCAGGTGTATAGTTACAGGTAGTCCCTGACTTATGACCACTCAGTCAGTAACCATTTTAAGCCATGATAGTGCTGAACAAATGATAATTACAACAATCCTTGGAGTTCTGGCTATCCCAGCATCCTTGAAGACATGTGAGTTCTTGGCAATCCATTTACATTCCCAGTTGCCAAGCCCCCTGCAATCATGTGTTCACTATTTGCAATCTTCCTGCCCAGCTTCTCCAGAAAGTGAATGGGAAAGCTGGCAGAGAAGGTCACAAGCTGCTCAGTTAAGTCTCCTCCTTTAGCTCCTCTGTGCTTACACTATGCCAGCCTCTCACACATCTCCCGATACTCTCCTTGACCTATACTCTCTCCTTAGCCCATATGAAACCTCTTGTACATCCTTCAACCTACATAGTGCTTCTCACATACTCTTGTACATGCCCCTGACCTGCATCTTGTGCACACACACACACCAGATTTCACCAGTACTCCCTTGCCCTTTCCCTCACCTAGCTGCTGTCACTTACCTGTTCGCAAACCTGAAACTTGCAATTTCCTGCCAGCTTTCCCAATGACTTTGGTTGCAGGAAGTTGCCTCACCTAATGACTATAGGATTCAGTTAATGATGGCAATTGGAACTTCAGGGATTTCTATCACTAATTGGTGTGGTCACTCTAAGAATGAGTATTACTTAGCAATGGAAATTCCATTCCCAATTATAAGTCAAGATCTGTCTGTCTATGTTTAATTTAATGCACACCACAACTTAAGCATGCATGCTTAGTAAATAGGCAATTTTCATACAAGTCTCATCTCACAATTTGTACAAAAAAAGAATGCCAATCTATGATATGCTGTGGCTGTGATATATTTACCAGTATTGTTTTGTCATCTTTCTTCCCATCAGTTCAATCACCATTTTCCTTAATTACGAATGCTTTAATTAAAAAGTTGAATGACAATTCTTCTGGCTTCATGCAACCTTCTTATAGAAATCTGCTTACAATGGTATATTTTATTTTAAAAGAACTTGCTGTGCATCCCCAGATGTTTTAATATTTGGGAATGCAATCTTTTTACCATAATGTGACAATATCATATAGACAATATATATAGATAAAAGATTATTAGCAGAATTAGCTGTCAAAGATGAACAACTATGTCATAAAAAACCTATTAAGACTATTTTAAAATACTGAGATTAATGTTTTGAAGAGCAGTCAAAGGCAGTTGACAAACCTGTCCATCACGTCCAATCTTTACTGGCTTATGTTCATTCCAAGGATTGGTCAGGTGAGCAGATTTTGTGAATGGCAATTCACGCCTAAAAATATGACGACACTTTCTCATATAATGAAATGTAACTTAAAAATACGAGAATCCAACTACCAATGGGTCTAAAGAATGAAGCAGACCTTAGAGGCAATCCCAAGGGATCATAATGTTTACCTCACAAAGCAAATATTACAATCTTCAAAATTTGTTCTCAGATCTGATTAAGAAATTCTAAGGCAGGTCAGTTAAGCTTTCCTTTATTTTTTTCCTTCCTATCCAATTTTCACAAATCCCTTCATCCATACCCTTGTTTTGGCAACAAAGGAAGCAGTGTGATAAAAATGTAATTTTCCCTATATGAATTACATAATAATGGTGCTGGAAAACTTTTTGACCCTGTGCTCCTCATATCTGCGATTCTACAAAGTTAAAGGATGGAAAAGAAGAAAAAAAAGGAGTCTGGAATAGAAAAGCAAAATTGGATGTTATGGGAGAAGCCAGGAAATTATCAGTGTTATTCTTCTCTCAATCTAATCAATCAGATTGATTGACTGATTATGTGCCATAAAATTAACTATTAGTGAATTTTCTCCATAATAATAAATAAGATAGGTTAATCATCTGAAATAGGATCGGGTTTGATTCAATTAGGTTGCACTATTTTCATTTATATTTCTAATATGAAAAAAAATGATAGTGATTCCAGGCTTTGGAACAAAATGGTAGGGATTCTAATCCTTATAAAACTGAAAGGGATAAAACACTCAATATTTAGTTTTTTAAATAATGTTTCTTAAAATCTCAGAGTCATATTTCTGACACAACTTCCCACTGGAGGAGAAAAAAGCAACTCCTGGCTTCTCATTTTACACAATATGTAAAGGAAAGGAAGTCATCCATCATCAACAGAAGACACTTAAGACTATAAGAATAAGAAGAAAAGGCAGTAATTCAGAATCTGTAAATATCTTAAAAGAAAAACTACAGCAGAAGAATTATATGGAAGAAAGAAACATGAGATATGAGAATCTCTACCTTTGATGCATCAAAATGTGGACCTGCAGGCCATTGAAATAATTTTACCTTTTAATACGACACTCAATGTCAAGTCTCTCTTGACATAGGCTCAACTCTTGGCACCTACATGATCGTATCAATATTGTTTTCTTGGTATCAATACAGATACGATTCACACTGCTGTTTTCTAAGATGTTTCTCAACTTTCCGTTTGATCCTATAGCCCAGGGGTAAGCAATTAATTTTTCCAGGCTGCCACATGAGAAACCTGGACTGTTGTGGAGGACTCTTGATACCACCCCAATCCTGATACTGCCACTGCCCCTGCCAAGGTCTGGACAGGGACTACTACCAAAAATCCAGGTCTACTATAACCCTAAGATGTCCTGGTGGGGTCTCATCATAATACTAACTAGAACTGATATTACTGGGGTTTGGTTGTTTTTTTAAGACAAGTCAAATTTCGATGGGGGCTCAGGTATGCAGATACAACTTGCCACATAAACATTATACATCTTTTCTATACAGATTTGTTCTTATACATCTGTTCTATCTATAGCCTATCCAACCACACTTTTATTTTCTAATTTCCACCCATTTTACCTGCATATCCAATCTATCTTAAATACTCCTCCCAGCATTTTTGCATTCATTCCTGCAGGTAGCACC